TGGGCTTGACGCTTTCATTTCTTCTTCTCAGTTTTACAACTTTGCAAGTCCGTGACTATTGTCATTTGTTGGCTTCTCAGATCGATACAAAAATCGAAATTGTCAACTCCTTTACCAGTTGTGTTTGCGTTGCCAGAGTTGAGGTTTGCAAGGACAACTGTCATGACAAATGTTACCGCAGCTTGGAATGTAGCGGCGTTGATATGAAGGACAGGGGTTTCGTTGTTCGACTGGTTATTTCTGGGTGACGACATGATTCTGTTATACAAAAGAAAATTAGTTCGTGAGTGATTATGGTTGAACCTAGATGTATTTCAATCATTCATGTAAAGAGTAAAAATGTGTTCTCGAGGATTTAACCTGCATCCCTATGATGTAGTCTTAGTAAAGAATAGAGGTAAGTTCATAAAATGGTTACAAGAGGTTTGTCGTCTAAACCGGGGTGCCATTGGTTGGTGGATAACATGATCCAACCTTTGAAAGAGAATTGGGAATGATCCCTGAGCTAAATTACCATAGCTCAATAACCTAACTAGAGTGTGTTTTTGATAGAGTTCTAACGATAGTAGGATGAAAGTTTTTGAACAAAGGATGACACAGAAGTTAGTTGACTGTCCATATCGTTGGTATTTATGATGCAATAAGTTTGGGGAAAGTTGACCTTGTAGTAGGTCTTACATCATATCTGGAGAAGGGAAGTTTGGACAGCATAACGGCCTAACTAAAAGTACTCACGGTACTGTGGTAGTCACATAGAAAAGTGCTACATAGGGTATAGATAGGAAAATGATTCCTTATAGCAAGGAAGGAAAGATAAAGCATCTTTTACTGGTGACGATCATCCCTCTGGCGAACCCTTAGTTCTTCCAGTTGACGTTCCATATCTAGCAGGTGTCTTTCGTACACTCTCTGGCGTACTCGGAGCTCTATGACTTTGGCTCGAGTTTCTGCTAGTGTTTACTGTAGGGCCTCATGGTCTCCCTTAGATCTCTCGCGAGCATCTTCCAGACGAAAGGTATAGAGGGTATGCATTCTCACATTGGTGACAACTTCCGTGATTTGGTGGAGTGTTGTCCTGCCTTGAATGTTGTTTCAGGCAACTTTGCAGACCAGGATTGGCAGAACCCTGTCTGTTGAGCTTCCCTCGCTCAGGTTATAGAAACTTTTGTCTCCGTTAAACGGTATAGGTTGGTCTTGCTCTACACTCCACGTTTCCAAACACTCAACCCAAGGAGGTGTCGGGACTTGGAAAGGCGGACGAGGGTTAGGATTTGGATTGGGAGCCACTGGGGATAAGTTCTCAACCTTGGGCTCGGAATTAGCACCGTCCGAAAAGCCTTCAGCATGGTGATTGTCCAAAGGGATTGTATTATCATTGTATGGCTTTTCTCCAAACCATGCAGCATTGCCTTCGTTCGGGTAGTACAGGTCGCCGTGGGGATGGGGTCCAGCCATGTTATCTATGCGATAATTGGGGTATAAGAATCTAACACCTACGTAGTTTATAGTAACACACAAAATACTCCTATAGTATTTTAGGTTTATGTTCTATTGTTCTCAGTGTAGTATTGTGGGTAAGTTTTTAGACTTGTTGCAACCTCACAACCACACTTAGGCACATGCTAGTCAACCCTCGGATAATATAGTTGATCAGGCTATATCTTCCCAATTTTGACTATATGTCTCTAAGTCTACTTGTATTGCCCAACAATCGTAATACTTTTGTTCTGTCCTAGTGACACTGATTTTAGTATGAATGCAGGCATGTATACTTAATGAAATATTTTATTATTTAAAAGTATAGACTCTTTATCAGAGTATTTTAATCCCTATTGTATTTATAGTTTGTATATCTTTTATGGGTTGATATACTCAATTCACTATAAACAATGCTCTGATAACAATCTGTCACACCCCAAAACCGAGAACGATGGAAACATTCTGGGGCGGAGGACGTCATGTAATGTATCACAACAATGCAAGGTAGTAAACAAGCAACAACATCATCCATTGCATTAATAGTATAACTTTAATTACATGTGACTTCTTTCATAGTATAAATCAACATAATGAATATTCAAAATAAAAGACGAGTCTTGACGGCTCCGTCTTCACAAAACCTGGTCGTCGTACCTGTCTATTTGTGACCTGAGAATACAAGTTATTTTGAAAATAAAGCTGGTGAATTCATAAGTATTTATGTGACTTTGATTTGTAAAACTGTAAATAAAGACTTGTAAATGTTTAGAGAAAAATTTGTATCAATGAACATGTTTGTAAGTGATTGTAAACGTTTGAAAACCCTAGAAAATCTCATATTTCCTACTAGTATAAAAAGTAGCCTTCTACCAAGACCCGACTGTTTTGAAAGTATGCATTATTGTAAATGTGACTATTTTTCCCTTGTATAACTATTATTATTATAAAACTATCGTCTACCTCATCGTTTATGTGTATGTATCAACCGTAAAGGTAAGAAGGAAAAATAATATAATAACTAAAATTGTATCCTTTTGCACTAGGATATTCACAGCGTGGTAACTCGCCGAACAATACAACCGTAGACACCCGTCGATGTGCATTTTCCATACTGTAGTTAACAGCCTTGGGTGTGGAATGGTAAGTCCCAAAACGCATGTAATAGAATCTATGTAATAGTATCTATTTAAACGTATCTATGTAATCGTATTTATGTAAACGTATCTATGTAATCGTATTTATGTAGCGTATCTATGTAATCGCATCTCTTGTAATTGTATGTCTTGTAATTGTATGTAATCGTATCTCTTCATATAGTAGGTAATGTATTAGTATAGACTCATGAATGAACTGGCTCTTGTGTGATTCCTTGTACTTGGAATAGTAAGTAGTATCTCCTAACTATACCTATTATAGTTACTAGTAATGTACGTGTATAGCCGAAGTATGCCTTTGCTACCTAAAGGTACTGAATCAACTGATAGAACTTTTATGTCTATATATGTATACATGATATTCAACTAATATTTAGACGACATTCGGACGAATAACCGATGCCCTAAGGCCACATCCCAACGAGGAAAAGGAAATAAAGCGAGCTAGCCGTCCTAAGTCCTTTAAACATTACTTATATAACTATACATATATATAGGCATGCATTTGAAAATATAAAAGTATAGAAGAAGTTTTGGTAAAACCTTTGAAAAGTTTAATAACTGAGAAATGATGATTTGAAAGCAATTTGTTTAATAAGAACAGTTTTAAGTATAAGAAAACCTTTGTTTAAAACACGATTGTAACAACGCTTGAAAGGAAACATACAGTATGTAACACAGTTTGATAAAGAGTTTTAACATGTAAAAATGTTTGAGAAAGTCCTTTGAAGTAATATGTTTGGTGAAACAGCTAAACATGTAGTAAATCCATTTGTATACTAGTTATAAATCACATAAGATTGATTAAATAACAATATAGAATACATAGCAAAGGATAGATATTCTCACACGATAATAACCAGGTGTTTACTTGTAATCCCCCTTAAAAGTATTTAAAAAGCATTTAAAATGTATTTAAAGTGTGTTTGTAGGGGTATGAGCTCACTTGATAGTTTGAAGAAGGTGAGATGAAAACCGAGCAGAACTTCGACTAGCAAAGCTGATTTATTTCTCGGGAACTTCGGGGTGTCGGGCTTTGCGTCGTGTACTTAGGGGTGTACCGGGACTTTCGGGTGGTTTAGAGGGGCTTTAGAGAGGTTCTAAGGTGAAAGAAATGAGTAAGGAAGCAAATAAATCCAGGCAGCCTCGCATGATATTTATAGGGTGCTGAAAGAGGGATTATGTTGGGCGTAATTTCGGAGTACGCTGGGCGTTCGCATGCGTCATGGCTTACTGCATCCTCGGACAGAGCATTGGAGCGACGTGGACGAACCGAGGCCTAGCACCCGAGTACGTTGGGCGTAAATTGTCTTGGTGTGTGTGCCTCGAACTTATAAAATCAGTAACTTTCACATACGAGCTCCGTTTTTGACGTTCTTTATATGCACGCGTAGGTGAGAATGTACTCTACAACTTTCGTTTAGACTTCGTTGGCAAATTTTGAATTTATTTTTAATTATATATTTTTAATAGGCCGGGACACGAAAAGTCTGTTTAAAATCCATAACTTCTTCATCCGATGTCCTTTTCTATCAGACTTTTCACCATTGTGCTACCATTAACGATATCTTCAATTCTCGTTTAGGTTGTGTCGGCCACAAATCACTCGATCACTGTTTCGAGTTTTTAGCTATCTACTGCTACTTTGGAACTTAGAAAAATCATAACTTCCCTATACAAAGTCAGATTTGGACGATATTTTTATGCATGTTTATGGTTTAATGATATCTACAACTATCATCTAGACACCTACGGCTAAAAATTATTGTATTGAAACTTCGCATTTTACGTCTACCAGCATTGTCGGTTTTTGCCGCGAATCTTAGATTGGTCATAACTTCTTCGTTATAACTCGGTTTTTAGTGTTCTTTAATATTTATGAAACCCTTAAAACGATATCTATCATTTAGACAACCCAATTGAAACTTTTTGAACATTTTATTTTCGAAGATATTTTATTAACTTAAAACGGGTTACAAGGTTCGACTGGAATTCGTTACATTGGCTTGAAATTTCAGGTTGTCACACAAGGGGCAGAGCCCCTGGCTGGGTATATAGGGTATGTTTCTATATATAAAAAATGCATCAGAAAATCGTATTTTCAGAGAATTGACCATTGTTTGACCCTTATCCAAACTTCCGTTTTATTTCGGTTTTTATAGTTTATGACAGTTTTCAGACAAAGATCATAAATTTGGTTTTGGTCTCATTTTGCTGGTACAGACAAAACTATCATCAAAGCGTTCTAAATTCTTGTCTCTCCGAGTCTTATCCGATTAAAGAATATTGGGAGTACCACCCGAATGCTTTAATATGAAAGTGTTTTACACAATTCTCAGAACTCCAAGCCTTACTATACCCCAATTTCTAACAGAGACTTGGATAATCTATGGCTTCTTTCTGAATACGTTCCATAGACCAAGCATGAAACAATGATTTATGTATCTTAAGAACCAGTTTCACATTCTTAGTCTCAACTTCTTTTGCCTCGAACTTCTTCCGAAGAGCATGGAGATCGTCTAGCTCTTTATCACTTCTTTCTCTTTCTGCCCTTTCTTCTTCAATAAGAATTTCTTCATTTTCATCTACCGAAATGCCTTTCCCTTTATCTTTATCTGAACCGGAAGCTTCATTACCCTTCCGGTCAGCTTCAGTCTTTGTTTGTTGTTCCTTGTTCCTTGTCTCCCCCTTGTTCCGCAGAAGCCCCGCTTCCCGAAACACCCTGTATCTGTTTTAGCATGGAAAAAACAGGTTGAAGCTTTTCAAATAAATGTTATCAAACTGAGACAGTGAACAAGGAGTTATGAGTTTCAACAAGCCTCATCAAGTATTAGTTGATCTTAGAAACATATCCTTTGACTAATGATCTCTTGTCCTCAAGATTGGCATTTTGCTAAGTAGCATTCTTCATTTTCTTAGAAAAAACCATGGTTTTCTAAGTTTTCTCAGCTAATTCATCCATGATTTTGCTTTCGGCTGCCAAGTCTTCTTGTAATTTTTCTATCTTTTAGATAACGGATGTCACACCCCCGAACCAGGAAGGCGGAAACATCCAGGGGCGAATGGCGTCATTGTACAATATCATAACAATTGAATAGTAATGAAACATATTAACACAAACATTTATACCTTGAGATTTCAAGTATCATATTGTTTACAAAACTCAGTTGTTCAAAAGTCGAATACAAATAACTGAAAAGTAGGAAAAACATGAAATGACGACGCCCGACCCTCAAGAAGGGTTGAATAATTGTCTGCTGGTTTCCTGAGAATACAAGTCGTTTTGAAAAGCGTCAACTAAAAAGTTGGTGAGTTTATAAGCATTTTTGTATATAATGGTTTTGCACTTGTTTAGAATATATGCATGCATGTCCTTTGCTTTCTTTCGTTTATATTTGTAAAGAGTGTGTTCCCAGAAAATCTAATATTTTCATTAATATGAATTGAAATTGAAAGTAATTTCTTGGTATCTTTTCCTTGTAAGGTAATAATGTATATTTCCAGAAAAATGCAGTATTTTCTTATAGATGAACTGTGGTCTTAAACCCTAAGACCACTATGGAAGTGAATATCGTACAGAAAATAGTTTATAGTTTCATTTTCTTTCTATAAAACTAATGAAGTATAAGCTTCCCGTAAACCAAAATCATTTTGTTAATCCCTATATGAGTCATTATTACCATGCTTGATATGACTGATATGCATGTCATGATGTTCTTCAGGTGTCGGTTTCGCTAAGATATTTGTCACCCTAGACTGACACCATCTAGCTGTAGCGAACAACATAGGTGTGGGGGTGTCAACCCCGTATATATCTATACATAATTACCTCGTTCTCCATCCAGGAGACTCTAGTTAAAGATTTCGTAAATATGAACCCGTTGATATAAAGATATTCGAAAACATAGTTCGTACGAAGGGTAGTAATAAATGCCATAATATGATGAAAGATAAGATACCATGGTATGATGAAAGATCTAGGCAGTGATAGAATGCCACGACTTTAGAAATGGTATTAGTGTACCAACGATGTAGAACTGGTACTAGTGTACTAATAATGTAGGAAAAGTACTAGTGTACAAATGATGTAGTCACTTAGGAGAGTATAAGTGACAACCACCAGACTAATTGATGACAGTCCCATGGAATTCAGGCAACGATGAACTTTGTGCCCATTTGATATACTTTAACTTACTGCCATGTATTGCGGAGAAATTCCTATAACAATACTGACAACAACGATGATTAAAATGATCATTAGGACAAATCCTTAAAACTAAAAATAGAAAAAAAAAAAAAAAAAAAAAAAAAAAAAAAAAAAAAAAAAAACTTACCGACACATATTGCGGAGAAATCCTAGTAATAGTACTGTTAGCAACAATGACTATGATAAACCTTAGGATAGATCCTTTGGGAAGAATAAAGAAGTAAACAATGATGGGTAATCGAGTTAAGTGTTTGATAATTAAGTATATTAACTATATTATTGTGAGTTGAAAACTTTATGTACTCATCATATTATCCATTCAACTTTTTTGTATCATAGATAAGGTTACAAAGGTATATGAATAATGAGAGACCTAAAAAGATGTAGATTGATAGTGTAAGATGTGTAAGACTTGTTTTCATTTACCATTTTAAATTTATAAAATTTCTTTCCCCTGCTGTAATTATTCCTATTACCTAGACTATATAGAAATATTATATTAGTTTCATCCTTTGCATTTTTTTTAACTAAATAAGATGTGATAATGTGAACCATCGTTAATAATTATTACCAAAACATTTTAGGTTAAGAGTAATTTATATCTTTTTTCCTTTTGCTTTGTTAAGAAAAATATAAAAACGGCATACTTATGCTTTAGGGACAATACAAGTATGCTGCCAAAGAGCATTCCATCATTTTTAGAGCGAGAAACAAAACCCTAAAATTCCACGATCTCCGTCGACCTCAATTATCTTCTCGACTCCCGAGGAATCTAGTTGATTCTGGTTGAAATCAGGTCTCAGTTTAACCTAATCTTCCATGAATTTCAATTTTCCCAACCTTAGCCAACTATAATGTCGGATAATGAGAAAAAAGCCCTTGTCAACTCACCCACAAGCTCCCGGTCGATCACGGAGACGGTGAATGGCTCTCACCATTTCGTTATACAGGGTTATTCGTTAGCCAAGGGTATGGGAATTGGAAAACACATAGCTAGCGATAATTTCACGATCGGAGGTTATCAGTGGGCGATATACTTCTACCCTGATGGGAAAAACCCTGAAGACAATTCGACATATGTTTCAGTCTTCATTGCACTTGCCAGCGAGGGCACCGATGTGAGGGCGTTGTTCGAGTTGACTCTGGTGGATCAGAGTGGCAAAGAGAAGCACAAGATTCATAGCCATTTTGATCGATCTTTGGAGAGTGGTCCGTATACATTGAAATACCGAGGCAGCATGTGGTAGGTTTTTATATTGAATCATCAGTCTTCTTTGATTCCCTGTGCTAATATATGTATTTATTGGTTTTGCAATTTTTATGGTGAATCTTATATAACCTAGCGGGCCCTTTGATGATTTCACATGAATTTGCTTAAGAATCTAAGAATTTTCTAGCTCGTAGGAATCTTCTGTAATATCTCTTATAGGATTGTGTTTCACCATGAGCAAAACGTGTGTGCAATCTAGCGTAAGATTATCTCCTTAGATTCAAACTTCTCTTTGGATCTTATACTTCTAGGATCAGCGAGCTTACTATAACCATATCTTGGCCCATTTTTTTTTGTTGAAATGGTCAATCTTACTTATAAACATTGACTTTCATCCTCAAATATTGAGGTATTGTATATTGGATAGAAGATTGTTTATAGCTACATAACGCCTGAATACCACTATCTTGTACACATTTAAACCAGGATAGCTATAAACATTTATAGAATTAGATTTTCTTGAAGATCTAGCAGTAGATAATTATGTTCTTTGTAATAAATCTTTTTCATGAATACTAATAAAAAAAATAAGGGGTTGATGGTTTTTATTAGTTTATTTTACTAAAGCCAAGTTGTTGTTTTGGAGGTGTTAGGGGATACAAGCGGTTCTACAGGAGAGCACTTCTTGAAAGTTCAGATTATCTGAAAGACGACTGTTTGAGAATCAACTGTACTGTTGGAGTAGTGGTGTCAGCAGTAGATTGTCCTAGGTTACATTCAATTAAGGTACCAGAATCTGATATTGGATCACATTTTGGTATGTTGTTGGATAACAAAGAAGGTTCAGATGTTGTGTTCAATGTATCTGGACAAAAATTCCATGCCCATAAGTTGGTCTTGGCTGCTCGATCACCAGTATTTCGGTCTGTATTCTTCAAGCAAGATGAAGATGGAGATGAACATGATGAGATTGATGTTGCTGACATGGAACCAAAAGTTTTTAAGGTAATGTAATTTATTATAAGTAGTAATAGTAAGATTTTGTTGAGATTTTTATTCACCGAGTATTGTGGAACAGGCTATGTTACACTTTATTTACAGAGATGCCCTTATGGAAGATGAGTTGGGATCGAGTTCTTTCTCTGAAATCTGTGTGTCTGATTCGCTGATAGCCAAGTTGTTAGCTGCTGCTGATAAATATGATTTGGGGAGACTTAGAAGGATGTGTGAATCTCATCTTTGTAAGGGTATATCTGTCAATTCTGTTGGTAGAGCTCTAGCACTTGCTGATCGTTATCATGCCACAGAATTGAAAGCTGTTTGCTTAAGATTTGCTGCTGAAAACCTTGCAGGTATACTATACTCACATTATACAAAAGTGTGTGTGTGTGTGTGTGTGTTTGCAGTATTTCTATTACCAAGTTTAAGTGATTCTACTTTTATTATAGGATAGTATTCTGCTTTCACTTCTTTCTACTCCAACATTTCACTTTTAGCCTTTTTTCTTATTAAAGCTTTGTACTTCAAAAAGCCAGGTGCAAGCTATTGTAACTTTATTTAGTGTGCACAAGCACATGAAAACACAATTTCAATAATTATAAAAATAGCAATAATATTTATGATTAGGATAACAGTAACAATTACAGAATAATAGTAACAATAACAGTTCAAGTAGGCATAGATAGCAGTAATAGTAACAATTGCAACAAAAACAATAAGAGTAAATTACTGAAATCGTCCCTGTGGTTTGGTCAAAATTGCATGTTTGGTACCTAACTTTTTTTTTTACTCGAATCGTTCTTGTGGTTTGCTTTTGTTGCGTTTTTCGTCCCTATGGTTTGGTAAAAGTTACATTTTTGGTCCCTAACTTTATGTATGTAAGGGACGAAAAATGCAACAAAATCAAACCTCAGGGACGAAAAGCGCAACAAAATCAAACCACAGGGACGATCCGAGAGGGAAAAAAAGTTAGGGACCAAACGTGCAATTTTGATCAAACCACAGGGACGATTTCAGTAATTTACTCAAACAATAATAACTGTTTAACAGTTTTGAGAACAGTAACAATAACAATAACACAACCAGTATCAAACAATATCAGTAACAATTATAATAAATGTAGGGGATACAATAATAGCAAAAAGTAACAATAATGATAATAATAATATTATAATAGAAACAGTAATATATATATATATATATATATATATATATATATATATATATATATATATATATATATATATATATATATATATATATATATATATAGCAATAAAACAATAAGGCTATGTTTGGCACTTATTTGAAATTTTGTAAAAAAATTAAGTAAATTTGAATACACGAAATAGCTAAGGGATAAATTACATGGTCTCATGATTTATACACCTTCATATTTTTTTTATTACTGAAACTGAAACTACGTAAGAAAACCATGGTCATTTTTATTTTACTGAAGAGTTTCCAAATAAATTTACCTATTTTGGCTATTATATATAAATAAGTTGTATTGGTCTATATCTACATGATCCATCTGTTATGTTATGCATTAAATATGTTACATGATCCATGATGTTTTATGTCCATTCATCTCTTGGAAGTTGTATTGAACTTTTGTATGAAATTCTGAAAGGAGGTGGAAAATAGTATTAAACAAAAGAGTAAATTACATGAATGGTCCCTATGGTTTTGGGTAATTTGCGCGTTTGGTCCCTAACTTATTTTTTTTAACT